CAAAACCCCCTTTTTATGAATGGCTCTATAGCTGAATGATGAAAAGCACACACACTGGTGGTGTTCAGGAACACCCAAATATAAAATGTTCAAATGCCAGCATATCTTTGTAAAATGTACGTTTCAGTTTCCATGTCAGAGGATCTGCATATTTAATGTCTGATTTGCAAGCATAACTTGGCACTCAAGTCTTTTGCATGCTGTGAAACAGTTTTACAGCTTAAACATGCATTTAAGTGGATGGAAATGATGACAAAGGTTAAAATCAGGGATTTTTTTTTATTATCTATAGAGCTCCTGTAGAAATTCTTTTTTCCAGAAGACAGTATATCTGCATTAGAGATAATTGTCTAAATTGCTCAAATAACCCAAAGGTAGTCAGAATGGTTATTATTGAGAGAACAAGACAGAACATCTAAAATGACACAAACAAAATCCTTCCTCACAGGTCATTATATTGCTTTAGGGTGTCACTGTTGCTGCAAACAGTTACTGCCAGGGAGCTTTCCTCTGGTTTTCATTCGTGCTGTCCAGAGGAAGACAGACTTTCTCTTTTGTTCATTATGAAAAACACAAATCTTGTACTCTGACAGAGCAGAGCAGAGAGATAAAAACTTCAGTTTGGATGCTGTTTTTGATGTCCTTATACTGCTGAGAGGTCTGAACCAGGCCACCATGACCCTTTGTCAGTCAGTAGTAGTACCATTAACAGAAATTTGATCTTCTTCAGGGTAGACCCAGCCACAAAACACCTTGCCTCCATTCTACCTGTTGTAGATGTCTGCAGATCTCCACTGCTGTCAGTACTGTTCCCTCAAAGCCATGCTGCAGCCAACATGAGGTGACTCTGTGGTGCAGGCTCACCTTGACTACTGCCTGTGATTCTGGCCTCCGACTTTTAAGAAGGATGCAAAGCGCCTGGAATGCAATCAGAGGGCAATAAAACTGGTGAAGGAGCTGGAACACATGTCCTGTGAAGAGCAGCTGAGGATTTCAAGTTTGTTTAGTTTGGAGAAAAGAAGGCTGAGGGGAAACCTCGTTGGTCTCTACAGCTTCCTCAGGTGGTGGGAGGTGCTCAGCTCTACTGCTGGGAGCCCAGTGACAGGAGACATGGTAATGGTTCAAAACTGTCTCCTCTCCTCTCCTCTCCTCTCCTCTCCTCTCCTCTCCTCTCCTCTCCT